AAGTGCCTTACTAGTAGTAACAAGAAGCTATTAGGGGCTCCTGGCATTGCTACTAGGAACAAGAAGCTACTAGGGGCTCCTAGTAGACCTCGCTCCCTCACCGTCAGGCTCGTGTGAGGCACCTTCACGATAATGCCCTCGGTCAGCCAGGGCTCTGCGCCTTGGCCCCCCAGCTTCTGAAAGATGTCTTTTTTTGCCCCCTCTGCTCCGCTCCTACTTAATTAAGTGGGTGCCTACTTAAAGTAAGCTTCTAGTAACTGAACGCAGGATAGCTCACGCTTCTTTAAGGAAGCTACCCCTGCCTAAGGGCGGGGGGAGTCCTTGAAGAAGCGCTCAAAAAAACGATTTGGTTCCTAGATGTTTGAGGAAACTTACAGTAACTTGTATGCAATACAGAGGAGAGCCAACAGCTAATAAGTCGGCCTGAGGATGAGCTTTCAGAAGGAGAGTCAGGAGCATCTTGCTGAAGCTTGTGCCTGTCAAAACTCGTAGGGCCAGTCAGCCTCATTTCCGACTCCTTCCTGCTATGTTCTAGTCCATGTCCACTCAACCCTCCTTTATATATATATATATATCGAATTTCTCATCTTGGACCTTGATGTTGGAAGCCTGTATGTAGATGAGACTGGCTCACTACACGAAATCTCTGTCATGCGAACCCCGATGCATCAGCAAAGGAGTCACGTGTGTAGGCCACATTGTCTCCACTGTATGAGATGCAGGAGCGACATATGGTGGTCTCAGACGCATGTCACTTTGGACAAGTATGCTTTCAGCGTGCCGAATGGTCTCCAAGACAGCCATGGATCTGAAAGGAGCAAAGCTGCACCATGAGCCCGAAACAAAGCCACAAGCGGAGGGATCGGACATGTGGCAACCACATTTCAAACACCACGTAAATCAATAAGCAGAGGTCTCGAAGACATAGACATCAATCCAGGACACGACCCCTACAATCCATGTACGACCACACCGTCTGTGGGCAGGGTTTTCAGCATTTTCAGGTTTATTGGCTTCGCAGAATGAATGTTAATTCGCATTGATTCTGCCGGAGGGGCACGAGCGTTGCCCAATGAAGCTGCAGAAAAACGATCGATTGGTTCCGAAATGGATGAACCTCCACCTGCTTTTGATGAACTGTTGCCAGGCTGTTCCACTATGCTGTTTCGGTAGTTATTTCTTGCACTTTCAGGTTTGAAATCGGATTCAACTGCATGGCTAGGACAAGAAACGCGCAATACTTGACATGATGGAAACGAACCGAACATTTACAATCTCCCTTGGTGTGTACATGCACATCGGGTCATTGTGCCTTGAGAGCCCATCAATCGACACAGCAAAAATCTCATTTGGCACCATCCTTTGGTGGCTCGCCCCACAGTGATAACACTGGAAAACTGGTTCAAGGCCTCTTTGCTTCTTCATGCTCCAACCGAATCTGTTCAACTGCGCTAAGTTTGCGCTTCTTTGGGTCCTGGGCCAGAATAGCCGTACCATTCATCAATGACACAGCACTTCATGGCTGGCAATGGTTCGAAGTACTGCACGGTGTTCGCACTGGTGACAAGTGCCTTGACATCTCGCCCTTCATGTGATTCGAAGGCATCAGCCAAGACGTTCCTCAATGGCCGTTACAAAGGGCAACATCTTTTGTCCTAAGTTCTTGCTCACTTTCGTATCAAAAGCACGTCATTCGCCAGTATACTGCGCTTACGTACTCAGAATTGTCAGCTGAGCACGGAGCTTCTTCTCCGTCACGTCAACAGCCTTTCGGCAAGCTCTCCCATTTTAGAAGCTGCTCATGTCTAGTCTAGAGTAGCCAGCAAACAGCAGTCTGCAGAACCAGTTAGCAGACGTTACAGGTAATCACATGCTCCTAACTTCTAACCCAAGCGCCTTTGCTGCCGATGCCTTTGCTGCACTGGCTGCGGGGGTGGTTGCAGAAGAAGCAGACGCAGACCTGAGATTTGGGTGAACATGACACTACACAATGGTCTTGTGTGCCAAAGGCAAACATTCAGTGTCAAACTGACTCAACCTGACTCAGTGTTCAAAAGTAGGATACACAAAGACATCATGTATTATGTAGTAATAATACAGTATTCCCTTTTCATCGAAAATCCACAGCCGCGGACCGTTTAATGAAGGCTCGTGCTGAGCTTCTAGCGACATACTGAAGGCAATTGGGGCGTCCCCCTCCTTAGCAGGCCGTCGAGTCGAAATCTGCTGTCTATTTAGGCAACTGTTCGACGAAAATCCATCCGTCCTTGCGCTGTAGCTCCGTAAACTCACTATCCTGGAAGCCGCCATCCTGCATTTGATATCTTCCAGCGTGTTCTGCTCCACCCAAACCCCTCTACAAGTAGCAAGCCTTCTTGCACTCCGCTATTGCTTTCTGCCTGGGCCGAACCGAAAGGCACTTGACCGCTTTCTAGATTCTAGTTCATTGCGCAATTGGGGAGATATTTTTAACCACCCGTGCTCCCGAGCGAACTCGTGATTTAACTCAAGTTCTTTGGTTCTCCAGTGGGATTGATCAGATCCTTGCGATTGAACTTAAACGCTCGTCCACTGAGCGGAAAAACAACGAGGATCTAGAATGATCTTGGAGGCTTGATCCAAAATGGCACTGCATGTGGGCCGTTCTGAACAGCCACTAAGCACAACTTACACAACCAATGGTTATTGGCTATTGAAAATGACCTACGCGATCAATCTGGACCTTGCACAAATGACCTTCTTTCTGAGCGATACAGAACCTTGATACCATCTCATACTATTAAACTGTTGACTTGCAACATTCACCTGCAGGATCGCACAAATTTCTCATACTTACTTATTCCATCCCTTGGGCTGACATGGGCTCACCGCAACCAAGATGCAATCTCAAAGTAGCTGAGGCTGACAAGATCCAACAGGAGACTGAGGCAGAAAGACAAGAAGAGGACGATCGAAGATAGGCTGGCAGCCGCGGCCAATGAACACATAGAAGAGCATGAGCAGGACACGACCGAAAGACCGCGACAAAAAAAGAGGAGGAGGACATCCGGACAGGGCTCGCCGGCGCGGCCTGGCACTGTGGCCAGTTTCTTTTCCTACGCGAGAGCCGGAAAGAAAAAACAACACAAAACAGTTTCTGGCGTTGCTTTCTGGAGTTGTGATGCTAGTGTCTCGCCGCTCGCATGCTGTCATATTTGCATGCTGGCAGGCTGCCACGTGGCCATGCTGCAGTACTGCGGTCTTCGGCTTGCCGGCTGGCACTCTTTCCCACTAGGTGCCACACAAGGCCTGCGCATGTGCAATTGTTTTCTCGCATTGGGCCTTGGCCCTTTGATTGCGCTTGGGGGCCGCGCATCGCGCTGGCACGCAGTCATGGCGTCATGTCAGCTGCCATACGGTCATCTGGACACCAGAAGAAGGACAAAGTGGCGTGGGCAAGCAGGGGGTAAGGCGAGGACAGGCGTGATCAAAGGGCAAGACCTAGACAAGGACTGCGCAGGGACACACTTAGGATGGATGCTCGGCGGAGCTGGGCTTCAGAGTTGCGCGGTGAGCATTAGCCGTGCATTTTTACTGCATAGACCTCGACTTGATTCAACTGAAAGAAGTGCTGGGTCGGTCAAATTGAATGGTTTAACAAAAAGCACTAGCCCTTTAAGATGCCCTAAAACTGGTGCAGGTACACAATGCGGCGTCCCACATTGCTTCACCACGAACTGACAGTGTCTTCGTTGGGCAGTGTCTGTCAATCGTGCACTGCCCCCCTGCTAGAATCTGTACAAAAAAGTAGGTAGAAAAGGCTCAGGTAGGTGTAGTGCCCCTGGAAACGGTGTTGACACACACAGAGAGCCGAACTCGGCGCAGCTAGTATAGGTGTAAAAGAACAACCATGACAGTCAAAACATTCCGCAATGCATGCCTTTTTGCCGCTGAGCTGCAACGCTGCAGCACAATGTGTTGGTGAATGATTTTTTGGTACGTAAAGCTGGACAAATGCTTGGGGTGGGGTGGAAGCAAGGTCTGGTGGGAAGAAGCTTGCAACCACCCCGCAGTCTCGTGGTTAGCAGTAGGAAACGGAAAAAGAAGTAGGAGAACCGAAAACTAGATTAAAACTTAGAAATTAAAATTAGGGAATTTTGTGGGGTGAAACGAAACTCAGAGGGGGATGTCAGCAAGCTCTGCAGCAAGATTCATAGAGGTGAAACGTTTTCCATCATTCATACTTCAAGCAAGACATTCAGCTTCGGTTGTCTGAGGTCCGGACTGGACTATACAGTCCGAATCCTCTCCAAAAAAGGGGAAAAAGGCACCGCTTTCCACAGTGGGAAGAAGCTGCGAATCACACTTAGGATGGGTGCTCCGTGGAGCTGGGCTTCAGAGTTGCGGTGTGAGCATTAGCCCTTTATTTTTAGTGAAGAAAAGGCACTTTTCGTAGGAAAGGCAAATGCACAGGTCTGGAGGAAACACTGATTGTCTTCCTTGGGTTTCCATTTTGGCTCAAGTGTTTAAGGTGAGGGCTGATCCGAGTTTGAACTGCTGTTGGCCTTGGTGTACTTGGGAGGCCTTTTCAGTGGGTTCGGACTCAGTTGGCTGTGCCGTTGCAAGCGTGCACAGGTGGCTGTGGAGGTGTTTCAACCGTGTTCGGTGCCGGTGGAGACCATCACCTTGCGCCGTCAAGGCATCCATGGCCAACAGCCCTTTACCTACGGACACCGAGCTGGCAACGCTCACTGATTTGCCAGCGATAGTGCGGTGGTGCCAAATGGACGTAGCCCTGTGGCGTGACATCAATGCTGGGTTTGGAAATTTCCCTACTGTTCGTCTCCTTGCTCACGCTCCTGCAGAAGGGATTGCCACAGCCTTAGAGCACATGCAGCTGCGAAGAGTGGATGGTGGAGGCAATCCCTTAGATCCTACAACCAGGCCACTAACGATGGTGGAAATGGTTCAGACTGCACTCATCTGGAGGGTGGCAAGAAAATGTTGCGGACTCGTTGACATTGATTTGTTAGCTCGTGGAGTGGTCGCAAGTTTGGCAGCACCTGCAGCAACAGCAATTCCAGCAGCAGCAATTCCTTTGACTGTGGGCGGAGGTTCAAGGCAGTTGGGAGTTCAGAAGGTGAAGGTGTCTCAGGTTGCAGATCAACTTGATGACACCGAGCTGGAGTTGGTGGGAAGTGGAGGTTGACGAGGCCTATCCACAATACAGGCTGGTCATGGGCGCTGACCCTGTGAAGGAAACCGAGCCCACCGCGGAGCACTGACCCTGATGATCAACAAGGTGGTGACTCGTGGAGCAGCACCATACGCTGACTTCTCGGTGTTGACACCGTACGCAAGACGGACTCAATGACAGATGAGGGCTAAAGGATTTCTACTCCAGGATGATGGCAGCTGGAAGCAAACAGAAGTGGCAGGACCTCCCAGCTTTCAAGCTTGGTCGGCATGTTGGGATGTGTACCGCACGATTTTGTTGATGCTTAGGCACAATCCTGCAACACCTGGAGGAGACAGAAAGCCGGTGATCACGTGGGCGGCATTGGATGAATACTTCAGGACAATTGCAACTTTGAACAGACAAAATCCTGAATGCTGGCGCCTGATTTTGCAGGCAGAAGACCGATGCCGAAGTGATCATTTAGAGCGGATTCGTCGTTCCTTGACGAGAGCCTCGATCGAAGCCAGGTTGCCTGGATCTCACTTTCGATGTTCAACAGCCTTGGATTGGTGTTTTCACCTACGCTGCAAGGGATCAAACGTTCTCGAATCAAGAAGTGCAGATCCCAGCACAGGCTTACATAGCCCGGCAGGGTGGACGACCAATGAGCAGGCTGGAGGCGGAAGGTGTGAACATGACAGATGCTGAGAAGGATGCATCCAGTGTTGCAAAGGGCACACCTCGTCCGCATGGAGAAGGTGAATCCAGGGTAGCCAAAAGGCGTCGGAGAGAGAAGGAAAAGCGTGAGGAAGAATGGAAGAGGTCGCGCAGTCAGCACACATCGAACTATGACTCCTACAGCTGGCGTGGACCCAACACAGCAAAGAGTGAAGGAGAGGGCAAGATGCAGAATCCCTGGCATCCGCGCTTGTGCGCAATGCGGTCCCCGGTAGCTCACCGAGGACTTGAGACGGACACTCCATGGACTTTGGCTCGCTTTGCAACTCCGCCCACGGGCAACGACAGGTGGGAATGCCTGGGGAGTGGTGATGGAGCTGGAGAGTGGTGGGTTCGGGTCCTGCGCAAGAGCAGGGTGAGGGCATTCCATCCCCTGCATCGGGGTACCCCATTCCTGATTGAGAGGATGTCTTCGACGAGGGTGACGGTGGCGTTTCACCGCAACAGCAGCCGTGAGCTGTGGTAGCGGGAGGAGCTCATTGACGATTGGGTCAACTCCCGCAATAGTCGACTTGGCAGGAATTTATGAGTGGAAGGGCTACTGTTTTTTCTATGTGCGCTTTGCTTCCCCGTCGGCTGACGAGCGACTGGGATCTAGCTCCTCGAACCCTTTGCCGCCTCCCAGTTCGGTGGACCAGCATCACCGTGGCTATGGAGGTGATCACCCGATGAGATCCAGAGCTCTGGAAAGGGGACAGAGTGCGAGTGAAGCCTCGGGCTATCAGGCTCGGTTGCAGGGCTTTGAGAAGAGGGGCGAAGTGGACACCATGGAGGGTGGCTGGACTCGGGCGCTTGCTGGTGAGGGATTGGTCCATGACGAACTGGATCAGCTCCCGATATGGATGGGCATAAGCGTGGAAGTTCGAGCTCCGCCAGGCCTGACTGAAGACACTGAGAGCTCGCATTCGCGAGGAAGCTTTGAGCTCTTAGAAGAGCCAGCATGAAGTGATGGCAAAGCCATCAGGGGGAGTGAGGAAACATGAAACCCCTCCACCCTCCCTTTGAAAGCACAGCATGTCAGTCAGCAGAACTGAACTCAACCATACCTGGACTTTGGCTCAAGAAAGGAGTGGCAGTTTTTTCGTTTTTGGGCCACTCGTGGACGCTCAGATGCAAACTTGTCTTTGTGAAGAAGAGGCACTTTTCGTAGGAAACACAAATGCAGAGGTCTGGAGGAAACACTGATGGTCTTCCTTTGGTTTCCATTTTGGCTCAAGTGTTTAAGGTGAGAGCTGATCCAAAGCAAAACCCACCCACCCACACCTGGGTTGGATCAGTGGTGGACGAAGCAAGAAATCTGAAGTCCATCATCCTGCGTTCGTCGCTGGTCACGTAGAAAACGTGATCAGTGATGAATACGGTGACCCCCAAAGCGGAAGTAGATCTAAAAGCAAGATTTCTTGCACATCGCCCAATGAGGGAAAAACTTGCGATTCTTGTTTCTTGTTTGGAAGGTGGAGGGGAAACGATGCAAACGCATCTTTCTGCATAGACCTTGACTTGATTCAACTGAAAGAAGTGCTGGGTCGGTCAAATTGAAAGTTTTAACAAAAAACACTAGCCGCCTAGCCCTTTAAGATACTTTGGAAATTGGTGCTAGTACACAATGCGGCACTCCACATTGCCTCACCACGAACTGACAGTGTCTTCGTTGGGCAGTGTCTGTCAGTCGTGCACTGCCCCCCTGCTGGAACCTGTGCAACAAGATAGGTAGAAAAGCTCAGGTAGGTGTAGTGCCCCTGAAAATGGGGTTGGCACACACACACACACTTAGTCACAGGGTTTGCAGTTAGTCATAGTCATAATCCACAGTGAAATGGATGGTGGAACGCAAAGGCGGGTGAGTCCGAGAAACTGAAGGTGTTTGAACAAAGGTGTTTCCAGCGCTCACAAGTTCACTGAAAGCGGCGGTGGCGCAGCGACATGTCAGCTGGGAAAGGGTTTGGGGGTATAGCATGTAATGACCACGGAGTCAAAGAACAGCAAGAAAAATTGGAGTGTTGTCATCCGCAGGTACGTCCGGAAAGCGTCCTTTCCGGATATCACCGCAGTGCAAGGAGTGTCTTCATTGAGTGGTGACTCCAAGACTGCGCACCACTCCCTTGTGTGCTTTCGTGGGGAAAGCAAAAGGGACTTGAGCAATCATGAAACGAACTCCTGGAGACAGGGAGTGTGGCACACACAGTGGGCCGCTTCGCGGCGCTCCCTCGCTCCAATGGCAGGTCTTTTTCATCTTCAAAAAGCGTCGACTGTTTCCTCTTCACCTTCACACTCTATCTGGGCAAGCTTCTTTCCGAATGTCTGCAGGCGTCCTCCTTGTGCATCTTCAAGAACAGCCTTTCCTGAAGCACTTGGTCGACCACAGCCTGCCATTGCCTGAGGAAGAAGACTGATGTCCGCTCCAGAGTCTAGCACAATGAGGGTTCTTGTGTTTGCCTCACTGACCGCACAAACTTTCCCAGTTCTGGGTGTCCGCATCCGTCGCCGCCTTCAACAGATGCAGGTGGGCACTTCCGAACTTAATCTTTCGCCTCCTCACGGGGGGTGCTCCTTCCTCAATGATTTCCTCGGCCTTGGAGGCTCCCTTACTGGGCATGGGGCCCGAAGGGCCTTCCATATAAACATCCTCCTCCTTCTTGTCCACTGCCTCTGGCATAGGCTTCCCTTCGAGGCCTACATCTGGCAATGAGCCAAGCTTCTCTCCTTTGATTTCTCCCATTGGGTCGTCCGCTTCGGCCTCTGGGCGCCTTGAGGTCCAGCTGGGTCCGCTTGGACCACTTCAATATCCGAGTCATCAGGGGACCAGTCGCACGCCTCGGTGTCAAGGGGCTTGACTTCTCCAGTGAGAGTGTCAACTTCAATCCCTCCTGTCGTTCCCTCAGGAAGGTTTTTTGAAAACAAATGAGCGCCCCTTTTCTAAGCTCACTTTGGGCCTGCAG